CCCCCCCCCCCCCCCCCCCGGGTAGTATCGCATCAAAATGCACCTAAGCACCAGACCTTCAGCCCTGATCTGAGGCTCCCTGAATCACAGCCTGGCAGTAAACCTTAGAGACGGATGGTTAAGGATCCCTTCGAACAAATTATACTTACCCTAAACACCAAACCCTAAACTCTAAACCCTAACCATAAGCCCTAAACCCTACACCCTAAGCCCTGAACCCTAAGCCCTAAACCCTAAACCCTAAACCCTAAACCCTAAACCCTAAACCCTAAACCCTAACCCTAAGCCCTAAGCCCTATGCCCTAAGCCCTAAGCCCTAAGCCCTAAGCCCTAAGCCTTAAGCCCTAAGCCCTAAACCCTAAACCCTAAACCCTAAACCCGAACCCTAAGCCCTCAGCCCTAGGCGCTAAGCCCTAACCCTAAGCCCAAAGCCCTAAGCCTTAAGCCCTAAACCCTAAACCCTAAACCCTAAGCATGCCTTGAGGCTCCTGAAGGAGGTCGAAGGCTGACCACCGCATCGCTTCTCGAGGTGTGGCCGTCAGGGTTTTACGGTGCTTTTCAATTTTTTTTTGGGGGGGGATACCTTATGCGGTTTAGGGTTTAGGGTTTCCTTTGGGTTTAGGGTTTAGGGTTTAGGGCTTTTTTTGGAGTGTTTTCACTTAGGTTCCCCAGTAGTACCCTTTCGCCCTTTTTTCTTTTAGGGTTCCTTCATTAAACCCAAATAGTAGGAAAAACGCGTACCCGTATTATGAAGCGGCCACCGGGGAACCTAGTTGAACACTGGTTCTGCAAGTTTAGAGTAATAGTATATGGCTAGGTTAAATCTCTCCACATAGGTTGTTAGGATCCTATGGGAAAGTCGGGACAAACCGATGCTTGCCTATACGACGTCCACATGCATAGATGTGTTCTTGTGCACCTGCACATGCTCTCGCTCTCTCTCTCTCTCTCTCTCTCTCTCTCTCTTTCTCTCTCTATACGCACTTATGTATATGTATATGAGAACATGTATGCGCAGGTTGTAGATATGTATGTGTGTATATATATATATATAACTATTTAACTTAAAAAGCAAACGTATACGTATACGCACTATATGTATGTGTACATGTGTATTATGTGCATGTGCATGTACATGTGCATATGTACATGTGTGTGTGTGTATATATGTATACATATACCCTAACCGAAACCTACCAAAACCTACTTTTTTGTAGGGTTCCTATACATTCCATATGGGATGCTTGCGCGCACATGCCACTCTACAAGCGCATGCAGCGAACACACGAGTGTTGAGTGAGCTTGTGTGCAGCCGCTGCTTGCACCTCTTGCTGCACACAAAATTTCGTACTGTTTGCCTTGGTCGCCGTCGCTCTCTTCCTGTTGCTATTCTGCCGCTGCAATGGAGCGTCCTCGCCGTCGTGTTGGCTCAGCTCCATATTCAGTTGACAATCTTGGGATCGGCTTGCCGCGTCCAGTGCGGGCGCCTGCTGCCCGCGTAGTTCCTTCATTGTGTGTGTCTTCTCAGGTGGCTACCACGCTGACAATCCCTCCTTTGTCTTCCACAAGTGTGCCCTTTGGAGTGCAGCGGATCGCAACACGCCAGCCTCGCGCGTGCCTTCCCTGTCAAATGAGTGGCGCAGAACGCGAGGACTTTGAGCGCAGGCGTTTGGCGTTGGCTTTGGTTGGTCTGGTCCGTTCTGTGGAGCAGAATAGCCTTGTGCTGCAAGAGCTGAAAAGCTCCTCCCCGGAGCAGCTGCTGTTCCTATTCATGGATCGTGCGCCCACTACACTGAAACGCCACTTATCTGGCTGGCGTCGCTGGGCGGAGTTCTGCCGTTGTTGCAGTATCTCATTGGGTGCTCCACCCTGCAGGAACCTCCTGGACTTCCTGGAAGCTCTGGCGGAAGGTGCACGCAGCAACAGGGGGCAGCGCCGTTCACAGGCGGCCAGTGGTGTCGTATATGCTCTTCGCTTTGTGACCCATAAGCTAGGCTTGCAGGACTTCGCAACTATTTTGCATGGCCCCATCGTCGGTGCTTGGCTTGCAGCTGGCAAGTGGGACCGGAGTCCTCCCAAAGAGGCCTTGCCTATTCGTGTGCGAGTTGGAGGAAGCAGCTCTTATCGTCGAGGGCGACGACTCGTGGCTGATCCAGTGTTTCTTGTTGATGCTTTGGAGCGGACTTCGATTCTCAGATGCACAGCGGCTCTCCCTGCAATCCATTATGGTTGACGAGGATTCTATCCGGGGATGGGTCTGGCGAAGCAAAACCTGCCCTACCGGGTTCGCATTTGGCTGCCTTGTGGAGGGTTGTTCTTGCAGGTTTTGGGCTCGGCCTTTTGTGTCTGAGCTCCTTCGCCTTCGCTCTGCTGACGCGCGTCGTGATTTCTTGATTGCCGATGGGCGCTGCCCGATGCAATATTCTTCCGCCCTTGCTCAGTTCAGACGGTGCCTGTGTACGTATACCTCCTTAGATAGACTTGAGGCGTCCAAGTTCACGCTCCATAGTCTGAAAACCACACCGTTGTGTTGGGCGGGTCAGTTGGGTGTGCCCACTGCAGAGAGCGCCGCGCAGGGCCACCACCGTATGAGAAACTCTTCAGGCTGTGTTGAAAAATACAGGCGAGACGACGTTCTTCCAGCTCTGAGATGCCAACGTCGCTTGGTAAAAGCTACTGCAGCCGGTTGCATCCCTGGCACACCCATT